TTTTTTTGGTGGAACCCGGGATTGAACTCAGACCCTTGCACTTGCCAAGGAAGCGCTTATTCTACTAAGCCATCTCCCCGGCCCCTAAGAACACATTACAAATGGCCAACAGATAATTGAAAATGTTGTTCAACAACACTAGTCATCAGAAAACAAATTAAAGCCACAATGAATGAGATACTGCTTCACACTCATTTTGGTGGTTATTAGCAGAATACAAGAGTTAGTGTTGGGCCAGGGAGATAGCTCAGTGACATAAGTGCCTTCCTGGCAAGGGCAAGGTCCTGAGTTCAATCCCCGATATACCACTCCCCCTAAAAATGTTAGTGTTGATGAGAGTTTGAAAAACGTTGGTAGGAGTGTAACCTAGCATGGCCATTAAGAAAAATAGTACAGAGAATTCCCAGAAAAGTAAAATGAGAATTATCATGTGCTCCAGCAGTCCCACTTTTGGGTGTATATCTAAATGTAATGAAATCACTATGTCAAAGAAATTTATATAATCTTGTGTTCATTGCAGCATTATTCATAATAGCCAGGGTATAGGAACAACCTAGGTGTCTGTCAATAGATGAATGATGAAGAAAATACCGCATGCGTATATAAGGAAGAAATCCTGTCATTTGCCATGAAGGGAGTGAACGTGGAAGACATTGTACTATGTTAAATAAGCCAAGCACAGAAAGACAATAGCCAGGCATGGAGGCACACTCCTGTAATCGCCGCACTCAGGAGGCTAAGGCTGGAGGATTGCTGTCAGTTTGAGGCCATCCTGGGCTACATAGTGAACTCAAGGCCAACCTGAACTGTACAGAGAGACGCTATCTATAAAAAAAAAAAAAAAAAAAAAAAAAACGTAAAACTTAAGTTAGACTGGAAGAGTAAGTTCAGGAGGTCTTTTATACATCATGGCAACTATAGGTAATAATAATGTATACTTGAAGTTTGCTAAGCTTAGATAATAAATGTGTTCACCACACCCAAAAATGGTGTCTTTGAAAATTTACTCCTTGCCTAATACTCATAGTCTAATATGAATGTCACTTTTTAAGGAGAAAAAAGGGAATAAATTGAAGAGAATTAAGAGAAAGTACTTGGTTTCTAAGATGTAAGCAAGATCTTGGGTGGTGAATCTGACCTTACTTAAAATATTAAGTAGAATATGTGACAGTGATAAAGCTCATATGTAGGGGTGGAAATTTCAACAATATAATATGTAATGGAAAGAACAAGTCCATCAGATGGGATGATACATAGGGAAAAGGAAGAGGTGAGGTGTGGTTATTTATGTTAGGAATGAAGGAAGTGGTAGGTTGGGGTTACTTTACACAAAGCTTTGATTACTAAGCTGAAGAGTTGGAATATATCTAGAAAAAAAAAGAATTGCTGAAAGTTTTAAAAGAAGTGTTAGGGGCTGGGGAGATGGCTCAGTAGAATAAGCACTTCCCTAGCAAGTGCAAGGACCTGAGTTCAATCCCCGGTTCTGCCAAAAAAATAAAAAATAAAACAAATGTTAATTAGGCTGGGCTTTAAATAGATATGCCTATTTAAACCATGTGGAATGATTTCAAGCAATGGGAAATAATAAGCTGAATGAATGGGTTTTTTAAAAAGTGGAAGTGTTCAGATTAGGGAGAGTATTCAACATTAGATGTGTATATCAAGAAGAAAGTCAAAGTTGAATATTAGTAAAAGCTAAAATATTCCTGTATTTGAAAGCCGTAATACTATAAATGTCAGTATAGTCATATTTGTACTCTTCCTTTCTTGAACATCTCTAAAATTGTTAAAATGAAGCTGTTTTATATGATCACTGTCACGTTTAACAGGTTCTCATTAATAAATCATGCAGAAATTATCTTGCCATTTCAGATTTCTCACACTGAATTTCTGAGCTACTTTTCTTTTCCCCCATTAGGTTAATGGCACTGATGCAGATTATGAGTATGAAGAAATCACACTTGAGAGGGTAAAAACAATTATCTTGTTATTTTAAAGAACTTTAAAATACATTGCTTAATCATGTAGATCCAAGAGAAGGATCTTTCAAAAACCAAAAAATGTAATATTTCCTCTGGTAAGTTCACAGATCATAAAATTAGCAGTACTGTTTTTAGAATGTTTCTTTTCACTAATATCTTTTTCTCGGGTAATTCTTAAATAGATTTATTAAGAAGTTGTAAAGATAATACACAGAATTCCCATTTACCCTGAACTCATCTTCTTATGTTGTCAACATTTTATATTATTAGAGTGTTTTTGTTTTAATTAATGGACCAATATTTATGCACTATTATTAATTGAACTAAACTTTCTTCCTCTTTCCTTAGGTTATGTTGGTTTTTTTTCTCCCCAGGTCCCCATCCATCAAACCACATTCCATTTAGTTGTGTCTTCTTAGGCTATGAAACTTTCTCATATTTTTCTTTTTAATTTTATTTTTATTACTGTATTTTCGGGGTCTTGCCGGTTAGGTCAGTTGTTTAAGCACCTGTGTGGGCAAACCAGGTCAAGCACAGGGGACAAGGTTGGATCCCCATCTCCACATGCCACACCAGACCATCCCTTAGGACAGCCTGAGCCAGCTAAAAAAAAAAAAAATAAACTTTTATTGTATTTTCTTGCCTACAGTATTCATTTTAAGTAAATAATGCTAGTAACTAGCATTTCATCAGTTTTATTTCCTAAGAAAATAAAAAGTATAGTTCTGATGGAACATATCTTAAGGGTAAGTTTAAGATATATTTTTAAGAATATCTGCATTTAAGGGCTAACCAAATAACTCAACGGATTCAAGCCCCTACAAGCAGGCATGGGGGCAGGGGATTCAATCCTGGGCGTGGTGGTGCACGCCTGTAATCCCAGGTCTTGGGAGGCTGTAAACAGGTGGATCGCTCCGAGTCCGATCTAGTAGTGAGACCCTGAATACCCTGTAGACCCTTTCCTAAAATAAAAAAAAAAAAACTTAAAAATAAATAAACAAAAAGAGTATCTGCATTTAGAAGGAAAAAAATACAGTTTATCCATTTAAAGGTAAAGATATAACTCAGCAGTAGAGTTTCTTGCCCACCATGCATGAGGTCTTTGGTTCAATACCTAGCACTTCAGGGGAAAAAAATCTGCATTCAATTTATACTGAATTTTTTTTTAATGTATTTAGTACAGGGTCTATAGGGTCTCTCACTACACAGATTGGACTTATAGTGATCTTTCCTGTTTTTAAGCACTGGGATTACAGGCACACACCACCATGCCTGGTCTTAGTTTGCCTCAGTGTGCCTCAGGGGCAGGACTGGCACAGACCGGGATCAAACCTGCAACCCCTGTGTCTGTCTAAGCAGGCACTTTAATTTGCTGAGCTATCTGGCTAGCCCTTTATACTAAATTTTAATAGTCCCACCTTGTGTGGCCAGCAGTCTGGGAAACCAAATGTTCCATACAAATAAATCTCCTAGGTAACTAAATGCCCTCATATTAAAAACTAAAATCTTGGGCTGGCCAGATAGCTAGCTCAGCAGACTAAAGAGCCTGCTTAGCCAGAGCGCAGCAGCCAAGGTTCAATCTCAATGGCACGTCTTGTGCCAACCCCGCCCCCCAGGGCGCACTGAGACAGCTCTTGGGAAGCTGAAAACAGGAGAATCATTACAAGTCTGATCTGTGTAGTGAGACCCTGTTGACCCTGTACTAAATATGAAAAACTAAAACTAAAGTCTTAGATAATTAAATTTATGATTAAAGCCAGAGAGTAGACTGTTTAGAAAGTAAATAGACCTGAGAAGGACTTTTACGTGTAAAATCAATTTTTATTGCCTACTCTTTATTTTTTTATTTTAATTTTTTAATAGATTGAAAATAAATTATTTACAAACATAAATGAATATAATGGGGACCGGGCTCAGTGGAATAAGTGCTTCCCTGGCAAGCACAAGGGCCTGAGTTCAATATCCAGTTCCACCAAAAATAAATGAATATAACAATAAAAATTGTCCAAAATAAAAATAAGGAAAGAATTTACAGATCAGTCGTAATAGTTCACTGTGTCAAATTGCCTACTCTTTAAATTAAGGTCACCTGCTCAAGTTAGTAGCTGCGTGAGTATTGTTCAAGTAAACACAGTATTGATAATATATTTTAATGTGATATGTTGTGACATCTCTTAGCTTCTAATTTTTTTATTCTAAAATCTAAATAAAACTTAGGACTGTGCATTTGTCTTTTTCACTTACTGAAGAATTTGAGTATCTAAATAACATGGTATGAATAAAAAAATAAAAATGTACAACAAAAAAATAAACAACATGGTGACCTCCCAATCTGTTGTTGTTATTATTGGAATTCTGGTAATTCTTTCAATAGTTTAAACTGAAAAAAAAAAAATTAGAATTTTAAAACAGAAAACAATATACAGGGTATTTTGTTTAATTAGTTAAGTAGTAGGTCCAAATATATCCACTTAAGTTGCCCAAAAGCTAGAGTTGGACCTTACTGCAACAGTAAATCTCTTTAAATAACATTCCCTAGCTGTCTCAGTTACTTTTTACTCATTGCTGGGACAAAATACCCGGCACCTGAAATTAAGGAAGGAAAGATTTATTTAGCTCATAGTTTGTGGAGGTTTTAGTCTATACTCGGCTGGCTCCCAGGCAGAGTAGCACATGGCAGAGAGCAGCAGTCCATGGCAGCAGAAAACAGCAAAGAAAGGGCCAGCCAGATAGCTCAGTTGACTAAATAAAGCGCTTGCTTATGCAGGCGCAGGGACTGGGAGTCAATCCCCTGTGCACTGAGCTGGCCCACGCTACCATGCTGGCCCTGCCCCTGGGGCGTGCTGAGGTGGTGAATAAAACTGGGCTTAGTGGCGCACCACGTGTCTATAATCCCAGCACTTGGGAGGCTGAAAACAGGAGGATCACTAAGAGTACTATCTGTGTAATGGGACCGTGTAGGCCCTGTACATAAGGAAGAATGAAGGCATGGGCAGCAGCTGTGGCTTCTCACCAGCCTCTCTCCTCTCCTTATATTATAAACAAGCTACAATGTCCATGCCTTCCTTATACACAGGACGAGAATGTTTATAGACTAAGAATACTGGCTGTCTGCTGAGTCAATTAAATTTCTGAACTTTTCAAGTTGACACAGTGTATCAGCCAGTACACTAGGTCAGTTGTCCCAGAAAATTTTTATAGCAGTAAAGCCCTTTCTCTTAGAAAATACTCAGTTTCACTACTTTTAAAATAAACATGAAGTGACCTGTTTCAGCAAAATTTACTTTGCTGTCAAGAAGACTACCAATTAAATTCTCAATTTGGACTTTTAATACTAACAAATTCCTTTTGTTACTCAGGTATCTTGGTTAAGCATGATAGGATGATAGCTGTTATTTAGTAACTCTAAATTTGTTATTTCTTATTTTAAAATAAGCTGATGGCAAAGTTAACAGAATACTACCACCCTTTCCTTAAAAGTTGAACTAATGTATTGGTTTGACCTATTGAGAAATAGTGGCAACAGTAATATATCAGTATGTGTCTCTTAGGAGAAATTTCTCCTACCTGGAAGAGGTAAAGTCTAAAAGAAATATGTAGTGACACCTCTACAAATGGATGACTTGATAAATTGCACATACTTTAAAAAAATTTTGTTGGTCATTTATTTATTTGGTACAGGGTCTCACTACTCAGCTCAGACTTGTAGTGATCCTCCTGTCTCAGCCTCCCTAGCACTGGGATTACAGACATGCATCACCACGCCTGGTTTTGGTGACCAGCATGGTGTACCTGGGATTCCAGGGCCAGCATGGCATGTGGTACCAGGGAATCAAACCCGGCTCTTTGCACTTGCCAGGCAGGTGCTTAAACCACCCACCTATATCCCCAGCCCAACATATTGGACATACTTTTTGAAGAAGGACCTGCAGGCTAGATTTCAAAAGTACTGGGTACATTTTCTTTAGTTTTAACATCCTAATTCATAAGGCCTCTGAGAAAACTTTCTATATATTGTGTATGTCTGTTTAATTTAGATTTACATTACCCATATTATATACCTTGCTATGTCATGTTGACTATTTTAGTAGTTTCTAGTCGTACAATGACAGGAACCTCTCAAAGATGATTCTTGAATTTTTCCCCCTTCATTCCCCAGGGAAATTCAGGGCTTGGGTTCAGCATTGCAGGAGGTACAGATAACCCACATATTGGAGATGACTCAAGTATTTTCATTACCAAAATTATCACAGGGGGAGCAGCTGCCCAAGATGGAAGATTACGGTATGGTTTGTATTTTATGTTGTGATATTGAACCCACTTTGTGGAGGTTTTTCTTGACACATACTAGACAAGGGATAAATAAAATGAGAAACACTATTATTGCATAGGCTAGATGCTCAAACGTTCAGAAGAATAAATAGGAAATTCTGTTATTGGCATTGCTTTTATTTATGAATTTATTCTTAGACACGTTAGCCTTATCTTAGGCTTTACAGTATTTTAAATGATAAATATAAATAGATTTAAATGCTAGTGAACAAATTTATAGAAACTCTTTGTTTTCTAGTACACTCAAAATGTTTTTCATTTCTTTGCTTGTTGGGAAACATGTACAACATACAAACATTAAGATACAGATATATACATATATGTATGTATTACAAAATCAATACTGCAATATATACCATACTGCAGAGTGAAACCTATGTAAATTTTAAATAAATTAATACATTTTATCATTAATCTTATTTAAATAGTGTTCTATTTTGAAAGTTAACTGTTGCAAAGTTTATAGTTTCCTTTAACCATAAATGATGTTTGTATGTGGTAACAAACTGAAATTGTAAAGGTAAGGGTTTTATATAGTCTATTACTTTCCTTTTAATACATGACAGCTCTTTAGTTTCTGGGTTTCACTGGCTATGACAGGTAGTATATTAAAACATTGAAGAATTTGACTGTTCTTCGAAATGTAGACCTTTCTGTTTCTGTTACTGACTTCTAATTTGTGTTGCTTTGATATATTCCCTTTGTTTCACCCAACAGCATCTGTATAGTACTAAGGTATCATTATTTAGAGAGTAAAATTTCTTTCCTCTAAAGACAGTTAATTAGATAGATAGGCTTCTCAGGGCCAGTTGTAATTTTTTTTCCAGTTGTAATATTTTATTTTGTTTCCCTCCCTACTAATTTGAGATGATTATTGCCTTCTAATGGAACACCATGCAGTCAAATCTGAGACCAATGCTAAGAGGAAAGGTTAGGACTAGGAATAAATCAAATCTTTTACAAAAGTGTATTACTGTGTCAAATTATATTATTTGCCTAATAAAACTTTGAACTAAATGACATAATCTATAACTTCATGTAAATTTAATTATATGTAGGATGGAAAACACAATTATTTTTGGAGCCGGGTATGGTGGCATATACTTGTACTCCATGTACTCTGAGTGGTAAATCAGGAGGATTGAAAGTTCAACTGCAGTCTGGGAAACTTAACATCTTAACAAGGCCCTGTCGCAAAAAAAAACACATTTAAAAAAAAAAAAAATGACTGGGTATATAGCTGCATGTGAAGGACTCAGTTTCAATCCCCAATACCTGCCTTCCGAAAATGTGTTTTTCCATAAATCCATGACCTAATGTGTTTTGACACTATCTCTGTGATCTTAAAAACTAGGTAATCAATCTTACTGAACTTTATTTTTCTTAACTGGAAACAGCTTTGTCACTTACTATGTGGATGATCTTACAAAGGTTAAAGTTGTGCTTTAGCTTCTCCATCTGTGAAATTACAGATTGAAGCCAGGAATATAGTTCAGCATCACTTTGCCAGCCTGGCAAACACAAGGTCCTGAGTTTGATTCCCAGTAAAACACACACAGATACAGATACAGATACAGATACAGATACAGATACAGATACAGATACAGATACAGATACAGATACAGAGAGAGAGAGATTGTAGGTTGTTATTTAAGGGTTAAAGCACTAAGGAAGTACCTAGTATGTGGTTGGTGCCAAGTGGATGTTTATTGTTGTTTCAAAGTATTAGTAGAGAGTACCCTCTCTACTAATACGCAGACAAATATTTAATATTTTTGTATAGTCACTTATTTGAACTGTTTATCTTATTCATTTTGCTGGCTTAAGGAAAATACTGTATTTTTACATGTACCTTCCTCATTTATATATTCCGGATAAATCTTTTTATCTTAAATAATAACAAAAATTTTCCCCTCAGGGTAAATGACTGTATATTGCGAGTAAATGAAGCAGATGTTCGTGATGTAACACATAGCAAAGCAGTTGAAGCATTGAAAGAAGCAGGGTCTATTGTACATTTGTATGTAAAAAGACGGAAACCAGTATCAGAAAAAATGATGGAAATAAAGCTTATTAAAGGTCCTAAAGGTATGTGGAAATTCAATTAAGACAGATTTTTAAATAAGAAATCTCTGCATTAACTATAACTTTGAACCTACTTTTGACTTAACGTCCTGAGGCCAACAATGCTTGATTTACAATTTTTTTTTTCTTTTTGTGAGTATCTGGAATTGAACTCAGTACCTCACACTTTTTTCTTTGATGCTGGAATCGAACTCAGGGCCTTGCATTTCATGGGCAGGTGCTGTGCCACTGAGCTACATCCCTGGCCCTCTTCTACAGAATTTGATTGGCTAAATAGAATTTTACATGTCCTTGTTCCTACCAAGATTGCAACATTTGAAAACCTCTGATGGTAATTTATATACACTTTATACATGTTATTGCTGTGAACATAATATATGTATATATTTATAATTTAGAATAAGTTCTGTGTGATTTTTTTATATTCACAATTTCTGTAACCTATCTTTAATCATTTTTAATAATTAAATGTTGTTAAAAGAAGTGAAATGTTCTTGGACCATAGGCATAACTTAGCAGAAGAATGTTTGCCTAATATTTACCAGGCCATGGCTTTAATTCCCAGCACTGCCAAAAAATCCCAAAAATATTCTTGACCATAAACACTTTGAAGTCCTGTATGTAGTTTATGTTAGCTTGTGCTAATTAATCTACAGAATACTTTAAAAACAGACTCAGGGCTGGGGAAATAGCTCAGTGGAATAAGTGCTTGCCTGGCAAGTGCAGAGTCCTTAGTTCAATCCCTGGTACCACCAAAATACATACATACATACATACATACATACATACATACAGTTTTAAGTTAAAAGAAAGGATTCATAGTTGGAAGTTTATTCTGTTTATCATAATTGGTGACATCTGCAGTCACATCTTTTAACATGTAATTTCTAGAATTTGAAGATCTGGATGTGATTAAGGATAAATGGAAGTAAGATTCTGATATATGGCTTTGTGGAAGTAGTAGGATTGCAGTAAATGAAAAAGGAACAGAGAGTGGGAATTTAGTATTAAAACTGTGGGACTGAAGAATTGCGAAAAAAAAAAAAAAAGAATTGCGGAAATTCCTTATTTAAACTTAATTCATAAAATATTGGGAAAGAATAAAAATACGTTTCCAAAGCGTGCTGCTTCTGTCCACAGCAGCAACCAAAAGTATTAGAAGTAGAATTATGACCAACAAAAATAAAAGTTTTTTTATAGTGTCTCTTTGGACTAACAAATCCATTTACCAAAAAATATTTGGAAAGGAATAGGAGGGAGATTCTGTAATTATGGGAGTGCCTATATTTGTCATTCCTTGATAACAGAATAATGCTTAAGATTTTCAAAGGAGATAGCTAAATAGATTCTTTCCTGTTTTAAAAATATGTGATGGGATTATGTAATTTTCAGCCATTTGTTTCTGGGTTAAGTTCATTTTTATTGATGAGAACTACCGTTTTGCAAATAGGTCTTGGTTTCAGCATTGCTGGAGGTGTTGGAAATCAGCATATTCCTGGGGATAATAGCATTTATGTAACCAAAATAATTGAAGGAGGTGCAGCACATAAGGATGGTAAACTTCAGATTGGAGATAAACTTCTAGCAGTAAGTATATGAAATCTATTATTTTCAAAGTAATTTTGATGTGAATTTTTTCCTGACAGTCTGCAATTTATATATACTAAGAATGTTTAAATGATACTTAACTGAGTGAATTTTTAACCTTGCTTTATCAAAACCTGAAAAGTAATTCTATTACCTTTATTCTCCATTTTTTTATCTACCAGCCCCCATTTTTTCACTTACATTCATTCTTTCCTCCCTCCCTGCCCCTGCCTCTGCCATTCTCACTGTCTCATTTCCTGTATGTGTCAGCAACGGGCCAGTTATTGCCTTCTGATGTGTTTATGTCTCTCATGGTATGGGACACTGGCCATGCGAGATCCTACCAAAAGAGGTTGAGAACTGGTAATGGGAGGAGTAAAGTAAGAGCAGCGATAAGGAGAACATTCTGATGAATACACAGCTAAGAACTGAGCCAGGGGGGTGCAAATGAAACCAACAGTAACACGTTGGCTTCTACTCTTAGTGTTAAGAATAACCTATTAAGGGCTGGCGAGATAGCTCAGTGGACTAAGCACCTGCTTTGGCAAGCAGAAGGACCAGGGTTCGATCCCCAGTCCTTCATGCTGTGCTGGCCCTGCCCCTGGGCTCACTGAGCCAGTGACAGACTGGGCGTGGTGGCACACACCTGTAATCCCATCACTGGGGAGACTAAAAACAGGAGGATCACCAGGAGTCTGATCTGCATAGTGAGACCCTGTACCAAATACACAAAATGAAGAAAAAAAAAAAGAAAAGAATAATCTGTTAGGAAGAACTGCAGTGTGTTTTGATAAACATGCTCAAGTTGCATCAACTCTACCTAACCTTGGAATTTGCTGAGTCATTTGGCATTCTGTTAATAGAATTATTTTAAAACAAAACAAAAATACCATCTTACTTTCCTCACATCCCTTAGAAAGGAACCAACTCTGCCAACTCCTTGATTTTGAACTTCTGCCTTTAAAAATTAGTCCATACACTTCTGCTACTTAGAGCTACCCAGTTTGTAGGAGTTTGTTACAGCAAGCGCAAGAAACTAATATATTTGGTAAGACTAATTTATCATTACCAGAACTAATTTAGACACGATCATGTCTGCAACCTCTTTTATCTCCCCAGTCCTAACTTTCTATTAACACTTCTGTAGGTTTTCTCAGTCAGTAAACAGTTTGAGGTCAGAAGTGTGGGCAGAATTCATGGTTCCATGCTAATGTCTGGGTTATGAATGAGTTATGAAATGGTTACTTTTCTTGTTGTTCAATCTATACCAGTCCCTTCTCCCTCAAGTTATTCAACACATAAATGAAGCTTAAGGGAAAAAAAAAAAAGAATTAAAGAAAAACTGCCCCAAAATAGCATCTTTTCTTCTATTATATTCATGACTTCTTAAAATTGTATTACTAAAAGAATCACAAATACAAAATTTTTTTATTGCTTAGTGAGTCATTCCTGATTGGAAATGCAAAAGGAAGTCTGGTTTCTTGTTAGTAGAAATATGAATTAACTTTAAAAACTTAGTTTGTGTTAGTATTAGAAAGTTAATATTAGCCATATGCTTAACTATAATAGCTTATGGTTAAGAAAAAATATAATTATTTTAATACATCTGTTTTTTTGTAATTCATGAAACTAGAATACATGCAATAAACAAAATGTTAGTCATCAGGAGTAACTAAAAGTATGAACTACCATTCAGTTGAAGATACAATGAAGTTATAATAATAAACTAAAAAAAATTAGCATCATTTAAAAAATGGATAATAGGGTCTGGCAAGATAGCTCAGTGGACTAAGTGCCTGCTTAGGAGACCAGGATTCAATCCCCAGTACCACATGCTGCACTGACCCCACCCTCGGGCATGCATGCTGAGCAGGCTATGAGTCCAGGTGTGGTGGCGAGGTGTGGCGCATGCCTGTAAACCCACCACTGGGGAGACTGAAAACAGGAGGATCACCATGAGTCCAAGCTGTGTAGTGAGACCCTGTACCAAATACATAAAACCAAAAAATAATAATAAATTAAAAATGGACAATAAAAACTTATTACTCATTTTAATATTTATTTATTTTTATTTATTACATTTATTTATTGTGTGTGTGTGTGGCCAGCTCAGCCCACCAGGGGGCGGGGCTGGCTGGCATGTGGTGCTGGGGATCGAACCGCGGTCCCTGTGCTTTGCCAAGCTTGTTTCAAGTAGGTGCTTTAGACCACTGAGCCATCTCTCCAGCCCTTATTACTCATTTAAAAAAAAAAAAAAAAAAAACACCCTCTGTTTTTCAGATGACTTGTAAAACTTGACAGTCCCATCAACAGCATATAATGTATACCTTTGTTCTGCATTCTGTTGAGTGCTGCTTATTCTTGCAGTGAGGATATTGATTTCTTTTTTTCTTTTTTTTTTAAGTTGATGGGCAACAATAAACAGTCTAACTTGAACTATTTTTCTTTTACTTATTCCCCTCATAGCTATGATTGCTGGTCTTTCTCCAAGCTATAAGCACCACCTTTTCTCCATTGCTGCCTATACCCACACCCATCTAAACAAATTTCTGTCACCAATATGTTTCTCACTTTTTTTTTTAATTTCACAGATACCATGTTTTCATTTAAGGTTTTTATAGAACCAGATTTCTTGGTTGGGAGCTGGCATCATGTTCTGACTTACTGTCATGGTGGGACTTGAATCCACTTTTTCCCTCCTGCGGTACCAGGGATCAAACTCAGGACCTTGCACTTGCCAAGCAGGCACTTATGCTGCTGGGCTGTGTCCTTGGCCCTCGAATCCACTTTCAATTGTGACATTTGTTCTT